ATGTTAGATGACGCAAAGAAGTATGTAGAGACCTGTCAGGTCTGTCAGCGGGACAAGCCGCGAACTCAAGCACCGCTTGGGTTGCCGAAGCCCTTACCTATCCCCGCTGGTCCAGGACAGAGTGTTTGCGTGGATTTCATGGACACCCTGGTGACCAGCAAGAGTGGCAAGAGGCACATTTTCGTCATCATTGATCGATTCACCAAGTACGCTAGACTAGTTGCCATGCCAGAGACCGCAAGGATTGACCATGTCATCAAGTTGTTCCAGGACAATTGGGTGCGTGACTTTGGTTTAGCAAAGACAATCGTTAGTGACAGAGATGTCCGTTTCACAAGTGAGTTGTGGAAGAAGACTGTTGAGCAGATGGGCAGTCAACTTCAGATGCCTTCAGGGAATCATCCCGAAGCCAATGGACAAGCCGAGCAGATGAACAGAGTTGTACAGCACCTGCTGAGGCATTACATCAAGCCCAACCAGGATGACTGGGATGAGAAGTTGCCTCTCATCGCCAGCCTGTACAACAACGCTTTACACAGCAGTACCGGCGTTAGTCCTAATCAGCTGCACTTGGGATGGAAGCCTAGATCAGATCTAGACTTCCTCCTACCTGAAAACCGACCCGCTGCAACTCCAGGCACACTTGAGTATGGTGTGCAGTATGAGAAGTTGTTGCAAGAAGTTGTCGAGCACATGAAGAAAGCTCAGCAAGCAATGATTGCTTCTGAGAATCAACACCGTAGACAGTCCACATTTCAAGTAGGGGAACGTGTCTGGGTCAAGGCTAGTGAGTTAGGACAGGAATTCGGAATCTCTCGCAAACTAATGCCTCAGTACTTTGGTCCCTGGGAAGTCCCGGATATAGTGGGAGATGAGATGGATGGTCCCACATATGTCATTCGTGTCCCTGGACACCTACGCACTCACCCAGTCTTTCATGCCTCAAAGCTTGCACCTTTCGCTGAGACAGATCAATTCCCTTCCAGGAGATCGATGTTGCCACCAACCATGGATGGTCAAGTGGACATCGACGATATTGTGGATCATAGAGATCTGCCTGTTCAGAAGCCATTGGGTAGAGGAAGACCTCCAAAACCCAAGCGAGAGTATCGCGTCAGATTCAGGCACGATACAGATCCAAAGGAAGATCGATGGTTCACCAGAGAGGAACTGATTGACACAGCTCCTCAAGTGGTGGCAGAGTATGAAAGAAAGTTAAAAGGGAAGGCACCTGCGAAGTAAGCATCTCAACGGACTTTCGAAGCTAAGGGGGATGGAATGTGAGGATTGAGCCCTCAAGAAGGGGCCTTGCCATGATGTACATGTTCTGGGCTAAGGCCCCAGCAAGCCTAGTGCCCGCCCTAAGTGAAGGCGGGCCAGCAA